TCATGCATGCCGCTCCCTGTCCACGACCCTCCACCTCCTGCACGCCTGCCCTCCTCATGCTGGGGAGAAGATCCGTACGCCCTGGCGGAGATGGCGTTTGTCGGCCCCTGGATAGCCCTCATGTTTCCCCGGGGCCGAGTATGCCCCGGAGACTCAGGACCGCCGGGTGGAAACAGCCCACACCTTCGCCAGAGAGCAGCTGCTGAATGCAGGTGTGAGGCAGAAGAGGAACTATGACGTCACACCCGGGGAGGCACTTTGTGGCTGGGGAGCTGGTCTGGGTCTACAGCCCGCTAAGGAAAAAAGGCAGATGCCCCAAGTTGGACAGTCCACTGGGTGGACCCTGGCAGTGTCCTGGAAGGGTAGGGGAGGTTGTTTACCGGTGCAGCTTCCTCCCAGGTGGAGAACGGTGACACTGCACCGGGACAGGTTAGCCCGCAGATAGAGGGGCCTCTTCTCCCAAACCCAGACCCCCACATTCCCCGCTCCTGGCAATGACATTCTCCAGCACCCACCCCCAGGTCCGCAGACAAGGCTCCAGACACCCCCTTTCCCCCCCCCCTGGTCAACCGCGTGGTTCCCCAGATCCACGGACCTGATTACCCGTTCCCGCTTCCTTGTCACCCATGTCCTTGCCTTCATCCCCCTGTCGTCAGAGGGGCACTCTGCGGCCTCAAGCCCGAGGCAAAGGAGACCTCCGTCGCTTCAGAGACTTGTTTTGGTTTCCCTCGGGGACGAGGGACTTTGTGTGGGGGGGCTGTGTAGCGACCCGCACAGACAAGCTGTGTGGTTTAGTGCTAGGCTAGTAGATGTTTTTTGTTTACCTACCAGTACCCAGTGTTCGCGGGGTCCGACATGTCAATCAACTGTATCTGCCAATCACGGGAATGCTGGAATGTTCTGATGCGGGCCCATCCTGGCTGTTGGCGGAGTGGTGTGGCGGGGGTTGGGCAAGGGGATGGGCAATTGAAGTTTCAGACCAGGTTTAGCTTTTGTTCTTTCACTCTTTTTACTCTGTGCTTCACAAGAGAAGGTCCATGATTGGCTTGTGGGTTATCTTTCACTTCTTTGGCGTGGCTACTGCCAAACAGTAGCCTTTGTAAAGTTTGGTTAATAAACCGTCCCTTCGTAAACTCAATCCTCTGTCTGGACAGTTGTGTTTTATTTTATGATCTATCAGTCATTACAATACCCTCATGTGGAAGTAAATCTTAATCCAAAATACAGGAGCACAAGTGCAACCCTTTTATATAAACCTTTTAAGGTAGTAAGAAAATAAACATTCACTTAGTTTTTCAATAGCCACCTGCTGGCAAGTAGCTAGGTGACGTTGTAGTGCAGTGAACAACAGTGCTAGTTTTAGCTCACATTAACGTGGCTAGCTAAGCCAGCAAAAACTTGGTTCACTTGCTGAAATAGTTCTTCAATACATAACGGCAAAATAAATATATACATAGACACATTTGCTATTGACTTTAGTGATATATGAACCAGTTTTCCAAAAACACTTATGGTTATACAGCTTTAAACCGTTTTTATTCCAGAGGAACACGAACCTGCTCTAAATATCTCTCTCAGACTGAGGAGCGGGCAGACCAACTTCCCAAATAGGGGAGAAGCACTCCAAACCCACTAGTTGTTCTTCAAAGAAAATAGTACAAAAATGCTAAGTCCGAAGACCTCTCGCATTACCAACCTTACTACAATGGCAGCAAATATTTTTATGATTCAGGAACACAAAATGAAGGAACTTTATTTATATCACCCCTTTTCCTGAAGTGAATGGTTTCACCCACTTCTCTACCACGAACTGCACCCGTTCTTTGATGTCTACATTGCACCGAGGTTGATGGAAACTTTACATTTTCACTTTGTTACACTTTATCTTTGCCAGAATCTTCCTATTTGTCTTACCTCGTCATTTTTTAAGACTTTGGACTCGGCAATCTTGTCATTTGTCTGGGTTCAGTGGCGGCTCCTGAAGAAATTCTCAGGGGGGCAATTTTTCTGATGATTTAGGTGACCTGCACACATTTTAAAAAAGATATGTCCAGCAACAACATGAAGACAGGGCAGCATATAAGTCAATACCAGAAGCATTTATTGACTGATCTCAAAAGTGTTGGCTTACCAGGGTTGGTGGAGCCCTCGTTTAATCTTTGCCTCGCAAAGCTAATTCAAACACTCCGCAAACTTCACACACTGGATAGCCGGCTGAGGATGTGGCGGTTCTTGCTAATGTCGTAGTAAATATATTTGTTATAGTGAATATGGAATATGATATGTTGAGTAAAATGTTGTGTTAAGATCTATTTAGGTCAGGAGCTGGTTATATTCTGTTCCTATCCAATAACAATGGACAAAATGGTCCTATCTTGTCAGCCTTGTCAGTTTCAGTTCTCCAGTAAACTTGTGATTATCAACACTAACCTCATCGTTGTGGCGTGCGGACTGCTAGCCTGTATCCCTCATCCAGTTGAGTGGGAATGTTCACTCTCCCCAAAGCAGACAATCTCAACAGCTATCCTGTGGGTCTTTGACAGCTCATGTTTCTTAATCTTTCCTGAAAGATGGTGCATGTCCGTTACACACCAGTCGCTGTCCAAGCGGTGCTGTCCTGCCGTGCCGCCTTCAGGGTGAAAGAGTAAGCAGGGGGTAGCAGAAGACTGCATTAGCTACATCGCAGCCTGCTAGCCAGGTTTTTCGTTCGTACCAATTTTTGGAAAATCCTCGGGTGTAGGACTTCCCCCCTTTAGTAGAAACCTGTTGAATTATTAAATTTGGTCTGGGAGGTCCTAATTGTTTCGTTGCCAATTATCTTGATTTGTTCGCCGACAAAAGTAACTTATTTCAAAGAGACAATCGAGTTGCACTGAACGCTAAAGCCATCTTGATAGTAGTACGTGAATTGATTGATGAGGCTACCCGCTCTTTCTTAGTTACGTTCATGGTTACGTTTACGTATGACGAAAGCGCGTAAGTGCAAGCCCTCAGAAACCCATAGAGATTGTATTGAAAGCTCTGATATTTGAAAAAAATAGATTTTACATGGGAGTCTATGACAGACTTCTGGGCGATTTCAACCTGACTGAAATCGCCCCAAAAGGGGGGGGGGGGGGGGGGGGGGGGGGCATTTGAAGCACGACTTTTAGCCTGATTGGACATTTAGTGGCACTGTGGCAGATCAGACGTCTAGATTACAACACTGATAACTACTGTTGCCGTGATATAATTGATAGAAAAAAAAATCCCTTCTTTTCCCGTTTGGCAGTGCGTCGCCCATATCGCCCTATTGAACACACCGCCCCTGCTGGGGTTAAAAAAACCATCGTATTGGTAAAGCCCACTTGCAAAGCCCAAGGAAAGTGGCATCTTAGGCCTCCCCATCTTTAAGCATATTATTGGGCAGCAAATGCCAGGGCATTAACGTCCTGCCAACTGGGTTTCCCTGATCAGTTGGACACTGTTGTCCCCCTGTGGCATAACGTCCTGCCAACTGGGTTTCCCTGATCAGTTGGACACTGTTGTCCCCCTGTGGCATTAACGTCCTGCCAACTGGGTTTCCCTGATCAGTTGGACACTGTTGTCCCCCTGTGGCATTAACGTCCTGCCAACTGGGTTTCCCTGATCAGTTGGACACTGTTGTCCCCCTGTGGCAATAACGTCCTGCCAACTGGGTTTCCCTGATCAGTTGGACATGTTGTCCCCTTGGCATTTAAAGTCCTGCCAAAATGGGTTTCCCGTCAGTTGGGCACCCGTTGTCCCCCCTGT